AGAATTTTCTATCAAGGCAATTGCAACACTTATAGCATATTTAATAAAATACTCAAGCTATTTTTAAATGGTAAATTTCAAATAACTTTTTGTTTGCTTATTGCCCTTAATTATTCAAATAAAATCTTAATGAATATTTTCTGAGGACAACTGTGGAAATAACTATAAACCGCTCCATTGCTGACTCGGTACTATACATATTAGTTGGAAAATTCAAATTTTCTCTTTACCACAAACTCCTTCAATGACAATTTTTATTGTGTGTATATAAATTAAATGTGAGTTGACATACATCAAAATAATATGAGACAACTTGAGAGTAAATAGCAATGCTCAACTATGACATTTATTCTGCAACTTGTATGTATAGCATTTTCGACTTACTCGATAATCTGTTCCTCATCGGTTTCTCTAATTTGGATTTCAACTGGTCTGATGAACTGAAGATCCGCTTTGTACGCAGGCGCAGCTGAAGAAGAAATCAGTAAAAACCAAATAGTTTGCATTAGATAACTAGTTAATTCTCTCCAATGAGTTTTCTGCATCAGGATTGAGCATGATTTAAAATAAAATTTTCATTATACCCGACTATCCGGATGTATTACAGTTTTGTATAAAAGGTAAAGACAACGAAATTACTTCTTCTTTAAGATGAAAAGTATTGTGGATACCCTAGATCACACTAGATTCTTGAAACCCTTACCCATATCTCTTGTCATCTGGCATCTATTTTGTTCAGTATTTCTCTGATGACGCAGAAAAGAAGTCTTATTTTTCTCGATATTTTTAAGTTAACATATGCGTCACTATACTATACTTAAAGTTATTTTTTGGCATTACTACATCAAAGGTATTTATCAGTTTACCTTAATACTTCATCCTTCATTTTAAATACATTTTATAAAAGCCAACAATGAATTTTAAAACATCACGACTTTGCGTATGAGCTGTTATAATCATAAAAATTTTAAGTAAAAGGAGAAAAATAGTCATTACCCAATACTCCAATCAATATAAATACCACAGAATTTTATGTCTGAAATCAAAGTGATAAGTCATATACGTTACTTTCAATGTAGTGTTAGTGCAAAAAATTATGCTGGAGAAAAAGTTTGAAGAATATGCCTATATGTTGAAAGATGTTCATAAAATGAAGTTTTTTCAGAGCTCTTCTAAATTAAGCTTTAATATCTGAATTATATGCATTAAATAGATAGAGAACAGTATTTTTATTCAAATTGAATAAATTTCAATATTACCAACAAATCTCAGATGAAACAAAGTTCACCCCAGGTAGCTTAAGTTGAGCTTTTGACACAAAGAAATAAATATTTCTCATAGTTCCATTAAATCATACTACGCCTTACCTCTTAAAAGGCATTCTCCTCCAATAGTTTTGCAGAAATTAGTTTCGAACTCATCGGTTAAGATAAGGGATCCTAAAGCAACGCTTGTTTTCGTTAGGGCCACTTATAGCTCACATTTTTCAATGTAAAACAGTGGATTTTAAGCTGTCTAAAGAGAGAGAAAGAAATATATCTATATAATTTTCTTGTTTATTTTAGGGATCATTTTTCAGTATGGAGTTTCAAGAATTTACTTCACATTCTTAATGCGAGATTTCAAAAGGGTAAAATAATAAATAATGCCAGCCGACCTTATCTGAGAATGGAACTCATTGTTAAGTATCACAAGTCTGAAGTAATTAGTTGCCTTAGCCTCAATCCTGGTATTATGTCTGCTGTCTACTGGGCATCCTACTATTAAATCAATATAAAAGAGTATATGAAGATCACAAATTGCAGTCATAGACAATAAATATGAGATACAAATATTATTCGTTAAATAATAGTTGAAGTTTTATAAATAAACATCTTTGTCTTAATAAGCAAAAATGTATAAGCATTCTGAGCAACTCTTGAGTTTTATGAATAAGAGTGACTAGATCGACAATTCCTACAGGGTGAATCCTGAAAATATGTGTTAGATAATCCAGAGAATGATTTCTTACAAATTTGAACACATTGAAAAATAAACCTAAAGGGATTATATAAAGAACCGGATAGGATGGCCTAATTTAAATTCAATAGTAAAAATAAACATGATATTCTGGAGTACAATATAATTTCAAATTTTGCTAGAAAATTCTGTCTAAATTTGATAAATGAAAGCGACTGGTATTTGGGTGAATATTTACATTCAAATATTCACTATTATGATAGAAAAAGTTACACCAGCCTTAAGTCGTCAATTTGTAAGCAAGGGGGAAAATGTGTTGATCCAGATAAAGCTAATTCAATGTCCTGGTTTGTGGCCCATAACCAAGATGCTTATTTATCAAATGCCCAAATCGAGAAAATAAAGGCATTGGCTGGGTTGCGTGGATAACACTCGGTAATAGAATTTGTTATTATTAAGGCAACAGTAGCATGAGCAGCTTGATATTGTACCACTTGAAATAAAAAGTTGAATAAATAAAGTAATAAAACTGCACAAGTGATTATATATATATTCTACAAACGGATAAAATATGATGCGAAAATAGTTAACATTTTAGATATTGAGTAATAGACAAAGCAAACAATATAAAAGCAAGATTTAAATTAAAACGCTACCTTCAATCATAACAGCAGCAGTGGAAGTAATCGTCCTCGAGAGACGCCTTCCCGTCGTCGGCTCCACCACCATTCCCGTAGCCATGCAGGTGTACTGACCGGAGTCTGGTTGGCTGGCTTTGCGGATCACAAGACGCGCCACTCCGGTGTCCTCCAGGTACGTCATCTCAACACGATCCGACTGCACCAATTCCCGATCACCCACCATCCAGGTCACTTGAATTGGCTGAACATCGGCCAGAATCTGAGCCTCGAATCTGGAACAGTGTGAGTGTGTGTGTGTGTGTG